GAGACTAGAGTGAAATTGGATTAGAGTGAAACATATGAAGAGGCCAAGTGTGGAAGGCTGAATGGGGATTGATGATGTAAGGCTGCATGAGATGTTTATGTAATAATTGTAATAATGAAGTGAAATGAGAATCCAAATTATCTTCTGTCCAGGGGGCTTGGTCTTGTGACATCCATGGTGTTACAGGTTGGCTGAATATTGCAGAGGGGGCTTGTCTTCCAGAGAGCTTGATTATGTGCTTGAAGCTTTGATTCTGTGGGCCTCTTATTCAAGATTGGCTTACCACATCAGATAACTAAACAAACGGTTGCTCTGAAAAAAGAAACAAATAATATTATATTCTCTGGTCTCCTTACCAGGGCAAGCTTTACAATTCTCTAAAATAATAATTCAAATAATACTGGGAATTTCTTCTTCTAACAGGATCTACTTATTGAAATCCTTCAGTGGTCTTCCTTCTTTTGGTCAATAAGCAGCTGTTTCCTTTGAATAGTTCCTACTTTCTCTTCAAACAGGTTCCAAGTTATCCAAATCGTTTGGTGGTCTTCCTTCTTTTGGTCAATAACTGGCTGCCTCCTTTGAGATACTTGTTTTCAGTTGATGGTTACACTTTCTTTTTCAGAGTTTTGTTGATTGTTTTGTTGAATTGTTTTATTGACGTTTGACTAGTTGATCAAGAGAATAACTGAATATGCCGTTGGGTTGTTACAGATATGGTTGATGAATTTGTTTTGTTTACCGCTAAAGTAATGATCCTTGGTCAATGTATTCTTGATTATCTTCTTATTTTGTTTAAAATTGGTCAAATGATTCCAATCAGAGGTTATCAAAGACCTTTGCTTTAGCTCCGCAAGTGCCATCAAACTTGTTGGGGGCCTTTGACCGGTGCAGCTGGTACTTGCGGTCTTCAGGGCTGTAGCCAGTTGGGCCTCCTTGGCCAATTGTTCTTTTGTGTCTTTCCGGATCTTGAGTTCTTCCTTGACCACGGCCAAGATTTTGGCCATTTGCTCCTGGAGCTTGGCAAGTTTGGTGTCCCTTGGGTCTATGTCCATAGCAAAATAGTATAGGGAGGCTCACAGAGTGGCAGGTAATGCTTTGACGGTGTGTAGTGACTTTGGAACGTGCAAATAAAATTGTGGAGACTTACTTTTGTACTTTCAAGCCTTACCAAACGGGTTGTGAGGGCTCTCTTTGGGGTTCTGGGGTCTTTTGGGGGGTTCTGGGGTTTTGATTGGTGGTTTTGGGGGTGTTCAGTGGGGTCTGATTCAGGGGTGCTGGGTCCAAAACATTGGCCTGAAGGTGTGTAGGGTGTCCTGGGGGACTCTTAGGGCGCGCTGAGGGCCTCTTAGGCGCTCTGGGGTGCCCTAGGGCTCTTTGGTAGGTCGGCTGGGGTGCTTTGCTGCACTTCTGGGGCCTCTCTGGGAGCTCAGGGGTGCCTCATGGTGGGCGCTTGGAGTGCTTCTTGCGCCTTGGGGAACGCTCTGGGGCACTGGGGGCCTGTCTGAGTCATCTGACAACTATCTGGTTGCTTTTGGGTTGTCCAAACACGAACCAGGGTTGTTGGGGGATCTGGGAGGGTCCTGGGAGGTCTCCAAGCGGGCGGAGGCCTGGCCTGAGTGATTTGAGGGATTTCCGAGGGTCCTGGACAAGTTCTGAGGGCCCTAAGGCGGTCCAAACAATCTGGACAAAAGAAAACCAAGGATACAGTGCGATCTGGCAAAAAACAACAAAGCATGACCTCCTGGGGGGTCCTGTGAGTACAGTGAGAGAGGGAGAGGTGCAGAGGAGTGAGTAACAAAGTTGAGGGGAGGGATGATTTTTCAAGGTTGAAGGGGTCAGTTTTCAAGGTTTGAGGGGTGGTGTTCTGGGTGTTTCTGTTCTGGCCTCCGTGTAAGTTGATCTTGCAATATGTTAGGGGTGCTCTGCAGAGAGCAGGTGAGGAGCTTACGGGTTCTGGTTCTTGATGGTAGATTGCAAGATGAGAAATTTACAAGGTGTGGATCTCAAACAAACTCCAAGCTCAAGGTTCGTGACACAGATTATGCACATATGTAGCATCCCCGGTTCCAGGCCTCCACAGCTCATAAAAACAAGTCTGGTTGTACAAGGGATATCGGCCAGGTCTCAGATATTCAAATTACATATGACTCACCGGGGAACATGTGTTTGATATTCTTGCATCAAAATCTGTCTCATCCTCCAATAGCCTGCAGAGATTGCCAGCAGTTGACTTCTTGCATGTTCTATAAGAGATTTAACCTCTTCTTGGGCTACAATCCCATCTGCTACATTGTTTCTTTGTTGTTTCAACTCAATATTTTTGCCAGGTATCTTTCTATGGTCCAATGACAGGCCTGTTTCCCAGTATCCTGAATTAGTTGTGAGCGCATTTCAGAAACTGTGAAAATCTGTTTGTCAGAAGAGATGATGGATGCCTGGATGTCTAGTGGAAGTTTAGATGTGGTGGGTGGCTTAGGTAGGTTGATATTACAACTTCCGCAATTGGCTTGCCGGCATTTAAGTGTACTGAAGGCCATTGGTATGCCACATTCCTTTTGCAGGAACTGATGGTTTTTATGGCCAGTTTTCCCCTGAGAGACAAGTGATGCAATCATTTCCTTAATATTAAACCCCAAACATACCTCAGGGAAGTCAGTACAATCTGGCTAACTAATGGTGAAAGCAGGTGAAAAAAATAACTGTCATTTATCCCAAGGTTATGAGAAGAAGCCATAGAAATTGCAGCGGGGCTCGTGCAGCTCAAGAGGTCTAGAGTGTTAGAGACTCGCGATGAATAGGCTAAAGTAAGAAATCTCTGGATTATGTAAAGAAAAGGACTGAGAGACAAAACTGGGGAAGAGTCCCCTGAAAAGAGGGCCAATTTATATTGGCCCCGTACAGACTAGAAGTATGGACTAAAGGAACATGAGTGACAACGTAAGAAGCCTCATGGCTAATGAATGTAAAGGAAATGAACTATCGGCTATAGTATCTCCGGGCCGAACCCGGTTTCGTAAGGAGGAGTAGGCAAGCCCCTTGCGTCAGAGCAGGGGCGCCAGATCTCCTCATGGTCGTCTCAACGGTACAGGGGCAGCGTGCTGCCCAACTACCTGTAGCCCGGCTACAAAATATAGGTGATTAGTCAATAGAAGGGTAGAATTTTGATATAGAACCTGGAGGATTGGGATGATCTCATCAATTTTGTCTAAGCATGAGTGTGAATGAAAGAAAAGGCATCCAAATCCACTTGCTTTTTAATTCTGAGCTGTCAGTCATCTGTCATTGTGTTGACTAGGCTTGGAAATTTCTACCAACATCCAAGGTAATAAGGGTTGAGCCCACCTGGCCAGGCAGGATCTATGTGAGCTAGGAATGGGTTGTTCAAACAATTCCAGCTGGGACCTTCAAGAGGCCTGTACCAGATACTGGTGTTGAGAATCAAGAGAAGGGCATAAATGTGGATCTTAAGCTGAGACCTCAATATTCACATTTATGCAGATAGAGCTAGCCAAAGCTTTGTATAGACCAATGGAAGAGCAACTACACAATTCTGAAGACTATCACAGTCTCTTGATGCATCCCAATCCTCCCAGACCATCACATCTTCCAACAAGTTAACAATAATTCAGATGGATCATATACAAACACTTGGTTTCTTCCGTGAAATTTCATCCAACATTTGTTTGATTAGTTGGTGGGTCTTGTGCACTTCCTGAAGAAAGAAACTAATTCGAGTAAAGGATTATATATGTATTAGGACGGTTCACGTCTGAACTTTGGAGCAAGTTTTATAGCATTTATCATTAAAATTTTCCAAGTTTGTCAAAAATCTCAAATTCCTCCAAGCCTGATGATTCATGAGATTTGACAAAATTTGTAAAATTTTATCCATAAAAGTGCTAAAACCTGCCTTGAACTTCAGACGTGAACCGGCCTATTGGTCTCCTCCTTGTTTTGAGCATTGAACTTCCCCTCTATATCTCATATATATAGGGACTGACCAATGGGCATCCTTTCAGAGTTCAGTTTGAGCTCATAAGAGACATTCAACTGATCATTCTTGGGGAATTTCTGCTATTTAACTAGCAAGATACATAATTCCACTAATCCCTGAATGAATTGCCTTTAGAGGTAATTGACAGTTTGACCATAGGGAGCGGGCTATGTATCCCCTCTTTCCCCTCATGACTTTCAACTCTAACAAGTCATGGGTGACTTGGCTGCTATCAGCATGGTAAAGCCAGGTCAGTGCTGAAAATCTTCTTGGCTAGACTCTGCTTTTGGGAATCTGGAGAAGTGATTCAGTCTATCTCACCTCAACAGGTGAGTTTGTTTTATGATCACTGATGTACAAATCCAATGATTCTGCACCACCCATGTACTCAAACAATGATAAGAAACACAATCTGAGAATAATTCAAGGAGAAGGCAGGAAAATCAGAGAGATAAAAAGCTGAAAAGATCTAAGTATTGGTTCAAAGCTTGGGACTTTGATTCTTTATGAAATGTTCAAATATATATGAGAAAAATGATATGACATACCATGTCATCTTCAAACAGTGATAAGAAGTATGATGAGAGAATAATTTGATGAGAAAACAGCAAAATCATAAAGAGTAATCCTTTTTGAATATTGAAGGATTAATCTTCATGATGAGGTCATTGATTAAAATTGTAAGGAGCTGAAACTGCATTGAAATTAGTATGTGAAGTAGCCTGATTTCTTGAGGCAAGGAGATGGGCCAGTGAGTGAGGAAGTTTCTTCCATTTCGAGTTGACTATTCTGCCCAGGTTGAGTGCCTCACCAAAGATGTTTCATGGATGGCAAGTATGCATGTTGATAAGGCATTTGATTCCTTCTGCGCTAGTATTCCCATTGGATTGGCAGCTAAATATTACATCATATTATTATTATTTGCATTGTTGAATGTGATAAGTGGATATTTAACTTACTCAGGATCCATATCAACAATCTGGGGATCTTTCAAAATTGCACCAACTCCTTGAAGGTTTCTGACAAGATACTTTAGAGTCTTGAACCCGGCAAGGCAGAACCTTGTTGACCAGAAAGTTTTCCTTCCCGTCAACAAGGTACATACATACCTTGTTTACTGAAAGGTCTTCCTTCTAGTCAACAAGATACATGTGCCTTGTTGACCGCAAGGTCTTCCTTCCAGTTGACAAGGTACATGTACCTTGGTGACTGGAAGGAAGACTTTCTGGTCAACAAGGCATGAGTGCTTCAATGGAGTAGCAATAGATGTTGTTGAAGAAAGCTTACATAGATTGAGACAGCCAGCCATGATGCTGTGAAGACTCAAACAGAGATCTGTGTGACACACGTGTTCAGACCTCCAACAGACCCCAAAGCATTGTCTCCATTGTGCTGTTGGCAGATATGCCTGGGGGGAACACAATTCTTTCCCCTCTCAATCCTGGCTTAGAGTCTGATCTTTTCTTCCTGAGACCGGCCGGGCCAGAAGTGTTTTTGGAGATTTTGAATGTGACAGTGAGTATGCATGCATCCCATGGATGTGTCTGCTTCTGGGCACTTGGGGATAATGGTGCTGATCATCTCAACAAACAAAATGTATGCACATGGGAGGACTCTTTGCCACAATGTCTTACTATCTTGAATCCTTTTGACAAGGCGGTGGTGACATTCAAAGTTAGGAATATTCTGCCAATGAGCTATCCAGACCTCCATGTTGCTGAGGAATATGGATTGGGCAGTGGAAAAGCGTGCTACATACATCAACTGCTCCAGTGCAGCTCTATCTACACATCTATTCTTCCATGTCAACATTTTGGCTCCATGCCTGTATTCCAAAAAGAAAGTATTTCTGTCAGGAAAATTTTGCCATGGGGTTTTAGTACATGCAATAGAAAGACACATACCACACTACCAAGGCTCACTGCTGAGATGGCTTCCCTGCTTATACCAAAATTTCCTTCCTCATTTTCAAAAATGGCAATATGCCCAACCATGCTGAATTGATGTGTCACAATTGCTGGTTTAAAATTTTTTTAGTAGAGCAATCTGCCATTGAGC